AGTTTTCAAGTTAGCTACATCCTCGAGTTGTATGTATTTTTCACTCACACACTTTAGGTTCATAGAATTCTTTGGTGGAATAAGGTGGATGAGTTTAAATGTGGTTCTTCAAAGCAATATGTACATATATGTATATAAATAAAAGTTGACCTGGAAGACTTTTTTTTGTGAATTTGTTTCGTTTTTTCACTCAATAAGACTACGATTCCTATTCAAAAGACCAACATTTTCGTTATTTATTTTCCAAGTTGTTGTTGTTGTTGATGTAGCGGCTACCAAGCCCGCTCGGTCGGTTCATCCGTCAACGTTGTCGTCCGTTTCAGCTAAGGGAGTGTGCGACTTCAACAGGGTCTGTCCATAAGGACAGGGCCGTCAGCTGAGTGGGGTTCTCAGGGCATGTGAAGAGGTGCCGAGAGTCATGTGGCGACTCTCCACATGTCGGGCATTGGTTGGGCACAACCTCATTAATTCTGCTCAGGTATGAAATAAGCCTTCTACAATAGCCAGAGCGAAGTTAGGCTATTGTGGTGCGGGTCTCCCGAGGCAGACAAAGTTCTGTCCCGTCCACGTCCGGTAGTTGTGTGCCCAGAACGGCATTCACAGAGCGGAAGTCTACACAACTCGAGACTGATTCCCTGTGAATGCAGTTCAGGGCCTGTCAGTAGGCTCACGGGTCCAGAGTTTGTTTGATGAACCTCTGGACTTCGTCCGTCAGTTCGTAGTGATGCCTCCTGACGTGCCTTGGCGAGGGCTCTTCTGCAAGCAGCTGTTTGCTGGGATGACCACGGCTGTAGCTCCCCCAAGGAACTGATTGCAGAGCATTGTCTTATGCTCCTTTACTGGGAGCATCTAGGCCTCGACGTATAGGTGGTGTTGGGGCGTCATCAGGAAGCATTCGGTCGCTGTTCGTAGTGCCGTGTTTTGGCAGGTCTGTAGCTTCATCCACTGGGTCCTGCTAGTCCCAGGCGACCACACGGGCGCTGCATAGTTTAGAACCGGCCGGCCAATTGCCTTATATGTTACCAACAACGTTCTTCATCTTTACCCCAAGTGCTGCCGGCCAGCGACTTGAAGACATTGTTGCGGCTCTGTACTTTATTGGCATTTGCGGTTGTATGCGCTCAGAAGGAGGGCAGGCTGTCGAAAGTAACTCCGAGGATTTTCGGGTTATTCACCGTCGGTATTGTTACACCATCAACGTGAATACCCAATTGCAGTCTAACCTCCTTCGTCCAGGTGGCGATTAGGGTTGCCGAGGATTTCTGAGGTGATAGGGCAAGGCTCCTCGCAGTGAAAAAGCGGGAAATTTCGGCGAGATAACCATTTACTTTCGAGCAAAAGTCATCAATTCCATTCCCAGACGCCATGATCGAACAATCGTCAGCATAGGAGACAATATTGACACCTCTGGTGGTCGAGGAAGCTTAGATATGTAATAATTAAACAGTAGTGGGGATAGGGCACCACCCTGTGGTACCCCCTGTTTAATTTTACGTGGGTTGCTGGTTTTTTATCTGAAAATTACTGACGAATGTCGACTACTCAGGTAATTCACCGACCACCGTTTGAATCCCTGTGGGAGAGAGGAGGCCTCTATGTCTTCCAGCAGCGTTGAATGACTGACAGTACCGAACGCCTTGGACAGGTCCAACGCTACTAGAATAGTTCTCTTCCATATGTCTGAAATGACGAGAGTGGCCATAGACATGTTGAGGACCTCCGTTAGGTACGCTACTGTCTCAGGACCCAAATTTTTCAGCATCAACATGCATATTCCGTCGGGTCCAATGGCGTTGGGGGATTTCGCCTTCCCGATGACCACCCTTTCCTCACCGCTGGTGAAAACAAGAGGCGCACTGGGTTTTAGCATTTTGTACAGCCTTCTGGTCACTAGACGTTTGGCTTTATCCACCGGAGTATGCAGAATGAACTGACAGCTAAAATAGCTCGCACATCGCTCCGGGTCCGACGAAGCGGGGTCACCAAAGTCTATTTCAACCCTGTCGTCACGATTCGTCCGGTTGGTCAACGACCTCACGGTTGACCAAAGCTTACTCACACCAGAGGCGAAGTTGCAGGTCTTAAAAGCTCTTCCCATTTCTTCCGATAATGTACGTTCACAAGTTGCCGAGTCTCCGAATCGAGATCCCTGATACGGTGATTTCCGGGATCGGCCTGACGAAGGTTACCACGCTCATCGGCTAGAACAGCCGCTTCAGCAGGAAAGTTCGAACGTAGGTCATTAAGACATCCTTCTGGAATGAAGCGAGCTGCAGCAGCAGTGACAACCCTGCGGAATTTACGTTCACCTATGTGGACGTCGCTTGGTATGGATAGTGCAGTGAACGCGCTTTCAGTAACATTCGCGAAGCCTTTTCAGTCAGCTTTGGAAAAGTTGACATATATAGGTCCGGTGATCTCCATTATTTATTCCATTTTCATTGTAGGAGTTCTACCTGATGATGTGACAAAGATCATTAAATTATTTTTGTTATATAAATATAGCATGGTCGTGAGAAAAAGTGTTTATGAGAAAAAATAACATTTTTGTAGGGAAAAAGACTTTCTTAGTTAAAAAATAATATTTTCCATTGCAAAATGGGGTTTTGATTTACACTTAGAAAAATTATGGTATGAAAGTACTTAGGAAATATGGCTATTGTGAAATAAATTATATTAATAATGAATAACAGTTCGGAAAATTTTCGACATTATTGTTTTGTTTGTGGAAAATTTAACATAGCTGTTTGTTACATCTAGAATAACTTATACAATGAAACAGGCATAAATAACATATTACTCAGCCTTAAAAACAGTAAATATACTATTTTTCGATGAAAAACCATAAAAAATTGCAAAAATTGCATCACAGCGGCATCTTGTGTAAGTTTTAGGTAAAAATAAACATGAGAAATAAATTTCTCGACCCAAAAAACAGTAATATATCATAACTATTCAAAATAATTTAATTTGTTTATCGAATTTTACAAATTTTTTCCTGTATGCAGGGTCACCAACTTTAAATACGCTTAAAAATAAATCAGATTTATAGGCTAAAAATCCTTTCGGGATTTTGTTAGGGGGGGTGTAAGCTTTCATTTACTTAAGGTTTCATCAAATACGTAGAACCTTGCTGTACTGTTTTATCTCGAAAGCCCCCAAAGCCTTCTCATATTTGTTAGACATCATTCACGTTTCTGCGCCATATAAAAGGACGGGCATGATTTGTAGAGCGTGATTTTTGTTCGCCAAGAGAGGGCTCTGCTTCGCTTTATCTCCTGATATTATTGGTGTTACTTTGCTGGATCCTACGTAGACAAAGTCCTTCACTACTTCAAAGTTATGCCAACACTGACGTGCGTCCGAATTCGCTTATTTTCCTAAGCTGCGAAATGCTGTGCTGACATCGCTGGGTTTCAGGCCAACGATTTCGATATCATCCGCATACACCAGCAGCATAATTCTTTTACTTTATATGGTGCCGCTGCTGTTAAGATTGGCAGCTCTTATGACGCTTTCCAGAATCAGACTGAAAAAGTTGCACGGGAGTGAATCGCCTCGTCTAAAACCTTGTTTGGTCTCAAACGGCGCGGAGAGGTTTTTTTCAATTTGGACGGAGCCCAAAGTTGTGTCCGATGTCACTCTACATAGCCGTATTTGTTTTGCGGCGATCCCAAATTTAGACACGGCATCGTACAGGCAGCTTCTCTTCGTGCTGGCAAAAGCAGTTTTAAAGCGACAAAAATATGGTGTGCGTCGACTTGCCTATCAATGTCTTTTTCAGAATTTTGGGTTCATGCAAAATCTGGTCAATAGTGGACTTAGCAGGTCTGAACCAAACTTCAGTCAGTCCAATCAGTTGGTTCGTGGAGGGCTTCGGTCTTTCACACATTCGTCGACAGGACCTTGTATGCAATTTAAAAAAGGCTTATTCCGCGATAATTGGCGCAAACCTTGCGCCTTATTTCCTAATAGAATTTTCGAGCTGCATTCCTCATTCCACGTCTTTCGTTCTTTTGAATAAAACTCTCTACTCCTTCCTCATCTCCCGGTATCTTTCAACGTATTCTCTTCAGCAGCCAAACGGCGCTCTTCGTCATACCAGCTGCTCCTGCTTAGGTGACAGTATCCAACCACCTCTTCCGCAGAGATTTGGAGATGGATTCCCACAGGTAATTGATGTCCGGTCGATGAGATGAAGAGTTTCTTTTTTAAGCACTATTGATTTCTCGGCTGTCTTTTGTGACTGCAGCTTCTCGGCGTCGAGCCTTCGCCGTGTTTCCCGAGGCACGTTCTTTATTGCTCAGAGCCGCATGCGGACATTACTTGCAACGCAACAAGGTGGTCCGAGTCGATGTTGGCGCACATCAAAAACGCTCGAAGCAAATCTTCCATCTATTACAACATGATCTATTTGGTTCTTCGGTCTTTGATCAGGGGACATCAAAGTTACTTTGTGGATCAGCGCCCCTACACTTTCTGAGGTGTTGTCATATAGGCTGAATTTTCCGACTGTTGGATCAAAGGATGGCATTCATTACCCATACTGACATTTAAAGTCGCCGTCGAGGGACGCGCTACATGCTTCCTCTATGCGCTCGTAGAACTGCTCCTAATCTTGATCTTCCTTCTTCAGGACGTGCTGCATATTTGATACAGTCGTGTCAACTCCGTCGCATTTCCTATAATGTAGTAACGTCAGCAGTATATCTTGCGGGGGCATCCAACAATCATCCGAGGCCGTTTTGATCTGTTCATTGAAAGGCGTTTTTACGTGTCGGGTCCCAAGCATAGCGCATAACCATTACTGGTATGAGTAGCTTTTTAACCGGATACAAGTTTATATAGCGATTCGCTGACTGCAAACGCCCGCTTGCAGCCGCACCTCATGGCAACCAGACACTGCAGACTTCAGTGAGCCCTTAAACCAAATAAGTGGGCATCTCGCTCATGGATTGCGCACATTTCCCAGAGTGCGTGAACGAGGATGCAAGAGTCATTATTGAATATAGCCATCCAACTGTAACTGCATACCCAGACGAAGTGCTATTCCCCATTGCACTCCAGCTGTACCCGATTGCACTCCACACTGACATAAACTCGGACTTTTGCATAGCCTCATCAAACAAATTCAAAGGTGTTAAATCACAGGATCTTGGTGGTCAAGCGGCATCGCAGAACCTCGAAATTACTCGTGCTAAGAATTTCTCGCGGAACATAGCCATAACTGACCGCTTTGTATGGCATCAAAAATCTTAAATTTCAGGGCAAAAAAGGCATTACGGTGGCTCTTTCGTTATTCTCGAAGAGCTGTGGCCCGATGGCGCTGCCGGCTAACAATGCACCCATCAGTCACCTTTTGGGGACAAAATTGCCTCTCAGTAACATAGCTAACGAGCATGAAATTGGTTTCATCGCCGAAGAAGTTTTTCTTCCCAATGCGAGACATCATAGCCACTAAAAAATTCACACTTTTGGTAGAATAATTTTATAACTTTTCCTCTCCTAAAAAAATAAAATAGCGACTTGTAATTACATATTTATATTTGCATTATATTTATACTACATATTTACCGCAAATTTATCTCATAATACAGTTACAAAAATACACCCGCACATGCAAGCCTATAATCAGGAAAATAAATTATTTAGTTATGCGTATAATTCGGCAATTCAAAATTATGTAAGTATGTAGTTTCATAAAAAATATATTTCTCAGCGATCTCACCCATAATTTGAATAATTTTGTGCAATTTTCAAAAACTTTTTTATGCATGGTTGTGTGCATAATTATATAGTAAAGCAGGTTTCGGCATAACTAAATAATATACAATAGTTTTTGTTGTAATCATTGTTTAGGCAGCGAATTTCTTGCAAAAGCTAAAATACAACAAAGTAGAAATATAAATTTCACACTGAAATTACTTATAAAATGTTGCCGGGTTGAATTTATTTTGTATTTTTGGTTTATTTTTTCTTTGGCTTTCTTTCTTATTCGGTTGAACACAAAAATTAAAATAAACGAATAACAACTATGTAGTAGAAAATACTTAGAAAAAATGTAGCGAGCTAAGCGAAATCGCAGCTGCAGACAAAATCACAACAACAAATGACTATGCAACAACAACAGCAATGCTGCATTTTATACATAAATTAAAGCTAACTTCGTGCCGATCATTAT